TCTTTTAAATTGCCCCTCACATGTATCTACACTGAGTCTTCCAAACCTACATAAATAAGTTTAACGAATTAAAGTAAGTTCCAAATTCATAAAAGTATATCATTCACATAAAATGAAAAACAAATATAACAAGTGACTTGAGCCAAGATAATTCAAGAACTTGGAATAAAAAGTTAGTGGAAAATAGAAAATAAAATAAAAGATTTTTCAAAAATTCAAAAATAAATAGAAATAATCTATCTTATTATTATATATTTTATTTTTTCCTTTGTTGAAATGAAATTTTATTAGCAACACTCAAATAATTACATATTCATATATTATTCTCATTCATAATTCAAAAAATATTATAAGCCTAATAGAATAATAATATTGTATTAGGCGTTGAGGTCTTGAAAAATATTTGAATTTACTTGAAGGCATCCAAAAACGTTTGAAGTCAATTTCAACTCTATATAGACTCCATTTTAATTTTAGTTCCATATGGTTTTAAAGTCAAACATATTGGTTCTTACACTCAAAGCAATTTCAATTTGATTATTTATGTCTAAATTTTATATATTAATTTTACTGTTGTATATACCTTACAAAATTGAACAACCATTTTAGTATATACATATATACAACTAAAATGAAATTTGTATCAATTATTTTGGGAAATAATTGTATCTAACTCAAAAATGAATTTTGAGAAAGCTCTGGTCTAGTCCTACGAAGTCAATATATGAGCTGGCTGGGTTTCTAAGAAGGAAAATTTTAATATACACACTTCTATGTCCTTTAATTATATTTTTTTTAAAAAAAATTTAAGTTTTAATTTTTTTTTTTTTTTGTAATGACATTATTTTAGTTATAATCGATGAATTTTTTAATTATTTTAAGTTATGACATTTTTTTAACTTATAATTTTAAAAAAATTAAAATTATGCCATATTTTTATTTTTAATTAAAAGCTCCATAAGTGTTTCCTCTAAAAACATCCCCAACTCATATTCTTTTTTATTTTATTTTATTTTATCAAATTTAAGTAAAGATTTGAATAAAAACTTCATCTAATACTTAGTATTACCAAATTACACCTAAACGTTCCAATGAAATTTTTATATTTTTTATCAAATTATCGACTAAATGGATGTCCGGACAATCGACTGGTTTTATATAAATAAACTAGAACCATATCCTCAATTTGTTGGAGATATTTCAATTTGATGAAAAGTCAAAAATAATCTTCGATTTGATATGAGTATAATGTTAAGATTGGCAACTTGACTTATTTCATTGGAAAACAAATTTGATATGGGTATAATGTCATGATTGGCAACTTGACTTATTTCATTGGTAAATGTTAGATGTTATTTGGAATGACTTAAATAAGTACATTTTTTATCTTTTTACGAAATGATATGTAAAAAAATAGAGAGATTATGTGATAAAAAAAAAAATTTATTTTAATGTTTCCAAACTTGACCTTAATAAAATAATATAGTGCCTACTGTTAGTAATATAATATAGCGCCGGCAACTTTCGGTTAATACAATATGTAATACAGTTTATTGCTTTTGGATTGTTTTCGGCTCTTTTGATCATGAGCCATCATTGTCCATCATGGGTATAATGTCAGGATTGGCAACTTTGACTTATTTCATTGGAAAACAAGAATACATGTTGTAGATGGTCTAAGACAGACTGTATCAATTTCGATTTGAATACAAATTTGCAGGGGAAGAAAATGGCGAAAGCTCTACAACTTCCCATCATAGACCTCGCTTCTCTTGATCGAATCTCCACCGCCAATTCCATCCGTCAGGTCTCTTCTTCTTCTCCTTCTTCGTCTTCTCCTTCTTCACACCTTATCACTACATATATATATATATATATACAAATCTGTATTTGCATATTTGCCTTATATATCAGCTTTATTTTATCATCAATAGAATATTTTCAAGAATTACGTTTATCTTCATCAGGTGTCTGTTTTTGTTTTTAATTAATTTAATTTATTTTTTTTTTCAAATTTGGTATATTATATATGCAAATCAAGACAAAAGTACCCAGAAATTAAAATCAAGTTACATGTTTGTGCATTTAGGGCGTGTTTGGACATCCCATTGGACTTGAATGTTTACATACTTAGTTATATTTCAGCTTAGAAAAGCAGCAATGTTATAGTGGACAAGTGATATAATGTCATTTGGGAAGTCATTTGCTTAACTAGACGGTGTGTATTGAAAATCAACTAGTTACATACTGAGGTAATTGCATAAGGGCAGTTTGGGAATGGTAAAATGGGTGACAGTGTTCACACCAACTTGGGTGCTAGCATTATATAATAGAATAGATAAACTCATTAATTATATGCAATGTTACTTTACGATGTTAAAAGCTATGAATGGTGCAGTGATACTATTAAATTTCTTGGGTTATCCAAACAACTCCTTATTTTGTAACATGGGGAAAAGAAAAGGGAAGAAAAATTTGAATTAAGCTTCTTTTTTTTTATTTTTTTTTCCCCTCCACATTTTCTTTCCTTTTTTATTTTTTCTCCACAAACACAGCCTAAAGAATTCTTTCTGATAAGCATATGGTTGTTAATTGTTAAGGTAAGCCAATTAACTGGAAAGCTTATAAACTGTTAGAAATGGGCCAGTAATGATAATATTAATTTGGTTTGTTTTTTAGAATGATTCATCATGTTGTTCCCAAATTCATTAGTATTCGGATGTGTGGTGTAGGCATGCATAGAATGTGGTTTCTTTTACCTCATAAACCATGGGGTAGAGCAGGAGTTGCTTAAGCAAGTGTTTGATGAGAGCAAAAGATTCTTCTCACTCCCCCTTGAAGAGAAGATGAAATTGCTTCACAGAGAAAATAGAGGTTATACGCCACTGTATGCCGAGAATCTCAACCCTTCTTCAAGTTCTAAAGGTTTTACTGTTCTCTCACTTTTGACAAATTTTGTGATGCTTTCAAATTGTATATAAAGTGGGAAATGTGCCGATGTAAGTTGAAATTTTCAGATTATAAAAAAAAAAAATCAAAAAAGTGTATCTGTATGGTATCGAGATTGAATATGCTGAAAATTTGAATGAATGCTCTCAAATTTTGGTGGAAGCATAAATTGACAAATAATAGCAAGTTTGACAATGATTTTACAAAGATTTTGTGATTCAGTCTAAACAGGATGTGGTCCTAAAGATAACTTTTTTCCAATTCATGAATTTAAAGCCAGGGTTGAAACTCATTGATTGATGGTATGATTGATATTGGATGGAGAAACTCTAATAGGTTCTTTTCTCATTAATGCATATTTCATTGGTGTAATGGAGAAAGAACTTAGGGTTGACTGTCTTCTACTGATTGGAGTACAGGTGGCTCAAAAGAGAGTTTCTATATTGGTCCCCTGGAAAGCATTTCAAGTCATAGTAATCTGAATCACTGGCCTTCAGAAGGTATTTTAATAATTTTGTGTGCTTTCACTTGTTTATGTTCTCTTAACATGTTCTCATATAACAATTTCATTTCTCCTACATTTTGTAATCTGTCATTTAGCATACATGTACAATGGGTACATGATTCCTGAGGTGATAACATTATTTCTGGTGTTGTCTGGCTAGGAAATTCCAGAAGTTTTGCCATCTTGGTGACCTACTATTGAATCTTACTATGAAAGAGTCCTGTAAGTTTTCCCCATTGTTTATTCCTATGTCACACTCTGAAAAGAGAGTAGAAAGTGATCAGAAATCATAGTAGATCTATTCACTTAAACTGTGTCTGCCTAGTAAGTTCATTTCCTTCAATAAGCGTTAATTTCTTCATACAAAATCAGAAGTTTTGCTCATGTTAATTCTATGACTTTCTTAAGCATTTACATGATTTTGATTACATGATTTTGAAAAACTTCTGTCTTTTTAACTAATTTTTGGGGCCTGAGATGTGATACTTAATGCTTGGAATAGTTTAGATGACTTTTATATAAAGATGCCTTGGTAAAAAGTGGTGCAGCAGTTTTGATTGATCAAATAGCTCATAATTCCTTATGTTGATAAGAACAAGGCTGTGTATGACTTTTGGCTGGTGTTGATTTTTGCTGCCTCAGGACTGCTGGAAAAAAGTTGATCTCTTTAATTGCTCTGGCTTTAAACTTGGATGAAGACTTCTTTGAGAAAGCTGGGGCTTTCAATCCACCAATGCCATTTCTTCGTCTCCTACACTATCCTGGTTGAATCAAAATTTGGCTTTATCTGCTTTGTCTGTATAGTCTTTCTTTTCATTATCTGGGTTCATACATGGACGGATTCAGGAATCTGTAGGATGTGTGGTTTATAAAAGGAGCTTAGCATTTTGTTTGTATGTCTTACTGTCAGTAAAATTGCAACACTTTGCGATAGCAGGATGAAATCCAGAAAATTAAGGATGCATATGAAAATGTAATTGGAAATTGACTAGATAAAAAATACTATTTTCTCAATGTCTCTGCGTGCACTTTATCTGAAACATTATGCTTTAATTTGACAGTTGTGGATTGGATTGAAGCTGTTTTTAAGGAAATGATTATTGATTTGTAGGAACTAAAAAGAATGGCTATTTAACCAAAGCTCTTTTGCCTCTCTATTTTGATTTCAGGTGAATTGGGGCTTTCTGATGAAGAAATTTTTGGTGCTTCTGCTCATTCAGACTATGGAATGATAACCCTTCTAGCAACAGATGGTGTTGGTGGACTTCAGGCATGTTTGGTCGATATTAATTGTGATCTTCAGCTGTAAATTCATTGAATATAATATCTTCCATCATTTTAGTTAGCTAGCTTTTATGTGTTAACAGGTTTGCAGGGACAAATCTAAGCAACCACTGGTTTGGGAAGATGTGGATCATATCAATGGGTGAGTTCATGATTTAACAAAATTAACTCAATGAAATAGTCATTTGGTCTGTATCTATGTATCCAACAAATTTCTATTTTGTTAATTATGACCTGAAAATTTATTTTTTCTTCGCTCCAACTTTGAATATCTTTTACCATTCCCAAACTTCAAGGCCTTAAATACATTTGTTGCTTAAGAGGCACGTTTGTGGGCTTCAAGTGCCCGAGTCTCCTGCTGTAGGGAATGCCTTTTCCAACTTGGAATTTTTCTTTTCTTTACACTACAATTTGTATAAAATTGATCTATTATTATATCTAAGCAATAGATATGAAGAAAAATGTCTAATATCTAAAAAGGCTGAAGCTTGAGTTTTTCATTTACATTCACAATGGAGATTCTAGAGTTCTACACAACTACAATTATGGTTAACCAGAGAATTTATTTCTTGTTCTTCCCATTGTGTATGTTTTAGCTCAGAATTTGAAGTTGTGGGGCAAATTAAATCTGCAGGGCCCTTATTGTTAACATCGGGGGCATGACGGAGAGGTGGACTAATTGTTTGTTTCGGTAATGTTCCATTTCTAGTAACTTAAACATCTCATTTCATCTTTTTTCTCAGAGAATTCATTCATCTATTTAGGATGAAATGTTTTGTTTTTGTTTTTTTTCCATTTGTTCTTTCAAGTACACAAATACTCTCTCTCTCTCTCTCTCTCCTTATTTCAATGTTTAAATTCTTTTGTAGGTCCACGTTGCATAGAGTGATGTCAACAGGACGAGAACGCTATTCGGTACTAAATATTTTGTCCACAATTTACTTTCTTGTCCAATTTTTGCCATTATGCTCTACTTTTTCCTCTTTTCATTTGGTCAAGGAAGAGGTTCCTGTTTATGATGTAGTACCAAAATTATGTGTTCTTAATCAGCTAGGTAAAACTAAAGGGTAGACTGAGTAGATCAATCTGTAAGGAAAAAAACAAAATAAGGCTTTATAATTGGATAGACTAGAGGATAGGTTACTCTGATAAATAAGCTGGTGAAGAAGAAGAAAATCGGAAGTTTCACTGCTGACCGTTGCTTAATTGCAATTCCTCAGATGGCTTTTTTCCTAAATCCCAGCGCAGACTGTGTGGTGGAATGCTTGGAGAGTTGCTGCAGTGAGTTGACTCCTCCTAGGTATGGACATCCCCTTGGCCTAACTTCTGTTATTATACGTCACTGCTCGCTATGCTTGAAATTAGAAGTTAGTGGTTTTGGTATTGCCTTTTGCTAGCATCCTGTAATAGTGGATCAAATGAGATTTCATGCCTATTTCTGTAATGCTTGTGTCACAAATGGATTGTCAATGGTATCAAACACTTCAGTGTTTTTGGGAACAATTTTGAGAATGCTTAGACGGTCTGTCCAAATGATTTTGTGGCATATTGTAAAGTCCTAGTGCGAGATATGTGTTTGGGCATTTGAATCCCATAGGCTATATTTGACTTGCAGAAGACAAACATTGTATGCACTTCGGATATCTCACCGATAGATAAATCATCTGATAAACTATGTCTGTCCTCAGTATTCACATTTGTTTTGCATTCATTGATTTCTAAAGCAAGTGATTTTTGTTCTTAAAAAATATTTTATATTATTTTGTTTTTATAATTATTATTATCTTTCAAATGGGTATGTTTTGTTCATTAAGGGAGTTAAGATTGATAGGTCATGATGTCATGCAGATTTGTACAAAAATTTTTTTTTTTTTTTTTTTTTTTTTTTTTTGATTTTCCTTCCATTGCCAGCCCCCCACGTGGAGGTGGGGGTGCTGGGGGTCCTTCCCTGCTGGGGGTCTCCAGCAGGGCTCTTTATTTTTATATTTGTATTTTGTTGTTTAATTTTAATATATGCAACATTACTCTTAAACTTATGCCTCATGTTTAGATATTTAGAAAGATTGTACATCTTATATGAAAGTAAGTACAATAGACAAGGTACAATTATTTTAAACTATTAGCGTGTGTCATAACAGCGTTAACCAAACTTGTAACGTTTGTTATAGTTATATGATAAATTATCAATAGATTTTAATAGTTGTACTTAATTCTTATTAAATTTTATTGAAAATAAGTCTTAATAAAATTGTTGCTAAAAGTAATTTTTTGTGACAATTTTTTACATGTTGCTAAAAATTGACAATCATTGATTTTTTTTGTCACAATTTTTATAAATTATCGCTAAAACTTATAATTAGTGATGATTTTCTGTGACAAATTTTTTAAAATGTCATTAAATGTTGAAAATTAGTAACAATTTTTTTAAACTTTCTCTAAAACTTATAATTAATGACATATTTTGTGATAAATTTTTTAAATTATCGCTGAAAATTAACAATTAGTGACGTTTTTAAGTAATATTTAATAAAAAAATATCATTAATTATCATAAGATCTATTGGATAATAAATTAATTTATTAAGAAGTACACATAAGTCCTCTTTAAGTTATAAGTAGAAGGTAAATTAAATAATTTAACACAAGTTTTTAAGAATATCTAAGATGCATCAAGCAGTCTCATTGTAAAATCGCTATGAAAAATCATTTTGGTTCCTTTTGGTTTAGTTTTTGAAAAAAAAATTGAGTTTTAAGTTGTATTTTAAAAGATAGTGTGACAAAAAATTTGATTGATTGATGTATAGAATGTAAAAGAATGAGAGAGAAAAAAAAAGTGATTAATTAATTTATTAATAAAATAAATAATAAAAAAAAGGGAAGAAAAGAGGAGACTGCATTTTTTTTTAAAAATTGATAAATCAAACTTGTTTTTTGATTTTTTGATCTAAATATTAATTTAAAAACTAAATCAAATAGTACCTTTGATTTTTTTTTTTTATTAGATTTCCTCTATGGGTTAGTAGTGATTTTTTAGTATTGTGGGATTATTTAAAATGATTTGAATAAATATATTTTTTTGACTTTATATAAACGTGAAATATAATTGAAAGTACTATAACTTAAATAAGATAAAATAGTATACTAAATTAGTACCTCCCAAATAAATCCTGTATTTAAATATTTATTTGTTTTTTGATATAAAAGAAAATTCCGAAACTTACGTTAAATTGGAGGACACGTTTAAAATATTCTTTAATGGGTCAAACAAGTAAGAAGGTGAAGAACGACATGTGGAATAATCTCCACCTGTACAATCACGTGGGCCCAACACGATTTTCCACCGTCCATCCAACTTTAGGGGGTAGACAAGATTGGATACATGCCACCATATGGTGCTCTCCACCTAGAAAATCTCAGCCGTCAAATATTAAGCCCAGCTCACAATCATCCTGATCTTTGTTTATTCTGAGTGGGACCCATAATCGAAAATTCATCTGATAGAGATTAAGGCCCCGTTTGTTTGGGGTTATAGGAAGGGAATTGGGACTATTAATACCTTGGTATTACTAATACCTTGTTTGTTTTGAGAGATGACCTTAGGATTACTAATACCTTGGTATTACTAATACCCTTGGAAGGGAGATTCATAGTGAGGAGGTAGAGATAGTATTAGAATCCCAAATAAATCCTGTATTTAAATATTTATTTATTTTTTGATATAAAAGAAAATTCCGAAACTTACGTTAAATTGGAGGACACGTTTAAAATATTCTTTAATGGGTCAAACAAGTAAGAAGGTGAAGAACGACATGTGGAATAATCTCTACCTGTACAATCACGTGGGCCCAACACGATTTTCCACCGTCCATCCAACTTTAGGGGGTAGACAAGATTGGATACATGCCACCATATGGTGCTCTCCACCTAGAAAATCTCAGCCGTCAAATATTAAGCCCAGCTCACAATCATCCTGGTCTTTGTTTATTCTGAGTGGGACCCATAATCGAAAATTCATCTGATAGAGATTAAGGCCCCGTTTGTTTGGGGTTATAGGAAGGGAATTGGGACTATTAATACCTTGGTATTACTAATACCTTGTTTGTTTTGAGAGATGACCTTGGGACTACTAATACCTTGGTATTACTAATACCTTTGGAAGGGAGATTCATAGTGAGGAGGTAGAGATAGTATTAGAAAAATAGTGAGGGGATTAGAAATTTTTTTATTTTTTTTATTTTTTTATATATTGAAATTTTTTTTAAAATATTAATGTTTAATTTTTATATTTTTATATTTTTTTATATAAAAATAATTTAACAATTTCTCACTATTAATCCCCTCACTATCAATCTCCTCACTAACAATCCCCTCACTATTAGTCCTCCTACTATCAATCCCCTCTATTCTATCTCTAAAAACAAACGGAGCCTATGGCTCCGTTTGGCAAGAGCTAAACGGGGCTTTTTTGGCTATTTTAGTCACAAAAGACAAAATAGGCTATTTTAGCCATAAAAAACAAAATATCACATCCAACCCACAATCATTATATTCTTCTCTCACAAAAAAAGTCAAAAAAGTCAAAAAGCCAAAAAGCCCTTCCCAAACCAAACTTTTTAGCCTAGGCTAAAATAGCCAAAAAAACCAAAAAGCCAAAAAGCCAACCCACTTCCCAAACGGAGGCATAATGTGCTTTGTACGATAAGAAATCTTGTGTTGGATTATACCCAAGAATATACGCCTTTGTGCCACGTTGACCTCCCTACCATTTGCTATACATACATTTCCATGTGGTCTATTTTAATTTAATTTTACATTGTCCATTATTTGGCAATAATTTCTATCTGTATATTATAAAAAATCTCAATTTACATTATATTTTATTTAAGTGGCTGCTTAGGATTTGCTTATTTAGTGTATTTTTTTTTATTTTTATAAAAAAATTTATGAAAAAATAGAGATATGGTGTGACCTAAATAAATATACTTATCAATTATTAAACTAAATTAGCAATTTAGATATCAACTATAGAATAAAAAAATAATTGGTACTTGATGTTAGAATAATTATTTTTGTTCAATAATTAATATATGAATAAGTAATTTTTATTCAATAGTTGATTTACAAATATACAAAATGGCAAGGACAATCTTTAAAAGAGCCCTCCTTTGGAATGGGACTACTAAACTAAAATAGTTATAAAACAATAAAATAAATTAAAAAATTAATAAGATAAAATATTATATCTAAATTATAATCATTTTTTTTTTCTCACAAAAGTTAAAAAAATCAAAAAATCTAATGAGGTTTGGGGAGTAACTATTTTAGCCAAAAAGTCAATACAAGTTGTCACATCACTCTCTCTATTTTTTTGTAAATTTTTTCGTAAAAAGTTAAAAATTTACTAAAATAACATGTTTTCAAATGAGGCCAGCAAAAAAGTCAAAAAGTCAACTCACTTTCCAAACAAAATCTGAATAAACCATGCTTTTTATCGTTTTGCCCTTGTCCTAACAAACAGGAGAAAATATGAGGGGATATAATAAAATTTTGAATATTAATTATAATTAATTTTTTTAATATTAATTTTCTGTCATTTCTTATAACTTTACTTGATTGCGTCATAAAAATAATCCACAATTTATGCTTGACTATCTATTTACTTACATATATGCTTCTACTTCAACTAGACTATTTTTTTCTTGCGTGTGTTAATTTTTTTACTAATTTTCCCATGTTTATACATTTATTAGCTCAAAGAATTTGTTTGAGAAGTTGGTGGGAACTCGTTACTTGGGGTTGTTGTGGCTTTCAATCTATTATGAAGAAAAATAATATTTGTTGATAGATATATATATTATCTGTTTATTTCATGTTTTATATATTTACTCAATATATATGAGTCAAAAGTGGGCCGAGATAAAAGCCGAGCAAGTTGAAGGCCCAAGGGCGTGTTGGGCCGAGATAGCTTAGGACTTGCCCGGAGTTGGGGCCGCTCGGCCCGTGGCCGAACTACTCGCACTGGTGGTGACCGTGCAACTTGCGTTGCTCGGCCAGAAGGCATACGCCTTTGGTTCGGCAGGGAAGCTCGTGCCAGAAGCTCGGCAGGAAAGCCTTTGGTTGATCGGCGTGACCTTTCTGGAGCTCGACTTCGCTGGAATGCAGTCGAGCACGATAGGGACGGAGCTCGGCTATTGTTACACTTGGGCATGAAGTGCAGCCTGGATGTCGGCGGCCGTGATGCTGTACCCCAGTTGCCGAGCTCCCAGCAGAGTGGGCTGGTAGTTGGGTTAGGTAATGTACAGCAAGATTTGTGCTGATGGATGGGATAGCAGCACCACGTATCGGGAGATGAATAGAAATAGATTTGGGGCGCAGAAGGTATATAAGCGGGTCTGCACCCCCCATGCCTAGACAGATGACACAATTGGGTGAGAAAAACATAACTTAGTCCTCTCTGTCTCTCTATCCCTATGTTTGTGTCTAACTTGATCGTCGGAGGGGTTTTCCGGTCACATACCGCGCTGGGTAGCTCACCACCGTTATGCTCGCAGGTCGATCGGACAAGCAGGAGCTTGGAAGAAAGGTGTCACGACCCAAACCCGGCCCTATGGGT